CACTTGATGAGTCAAAGGTGCAATTTCCACTGGGCTGCCTGGATTCTGTGTTCTACTTTTAACTGCAAGGTTTTGTGGTGGGGTGACACAAATTTTTAATACCAGCACTTGGGAGACTGAGGCAGGAGGATCACAAAGTCATCCTTTTGTACACACACACACACACACACACACACACACACACACACTCCTCATCTGCTCAGTTCTGGGGAAAGAGGATAAACTTTGCCAGCTGTTACTAATGCTGGATGCTGGGGTCAAGAAAAATGGTGTAGCTTCACAGGAGAAATGGTTCTTGGATGATAAGAGATCATTGTTTGGGCTGTCTATGAACACAGGCTGCCACAACACTTAACCTGTCCTCCCTCAGTCCTGTACCCCTGTGTGCTTACTTTAACCCATCCAGTGTAAGGCTCAGACCTCTTTAGTTGGACACTTGTGTATTCTCTGATGTGAGTCAAGAGACAGTCTTCAGCTTCCAGCTAAAGTTGCCCAGAGTGATAGAAAGGCTTTTTGACATGCATGATTTAGATAACTGCATGAGGCACAAGCTGATATTTTATATAGTAATAACAGTTTTTTGTAGATGATGGAGTCTTTGACTTGAGAGCCGCCCTGAAGATGCCTGCTCTTTGACCTCAGGATCTCATAAAGTAGGATAATTACCAGAGCAGAAGAAGTCTTTTTTTTTCTAGACATCCAAACCATGCTGCAAGCATTTAGATCAGACACTGTCAACTTGTAGCCCTCAGGCCAAGGTGAACAGAAGACAGATAGTGTGGCTTTTCTAGTGTTCACTCACACAGTGACTGAGATTTCAGAGTTTGAACAAATCCTAAACTAAGGACACATTGGCTGCCATTTCATTGGTTTTCTGGTGGCTCTTGTGCATAGTCTTCACCCAAGACACAAAAGCTCCATTTATTTTATCATTACACTTCTATTGAGTATTTCTATGAGAGGAGAGCTGCCTAGCTAGCCCTCAGACAAACCTGAGCTGGAGTATGTTTTATAGACACTTTGACCAAAATCATTGAATCCTCCTAGTGCTGGATACCATGCCAAAGTCACCAGGAAAATAATAAGTCATAATTAATTTATATATTTCTATGAAAACTAAAAATTATATTTCTGTTAATTATTCATTTCTGTTCCTTCCTTTCTGCTTTTTAGTACAAAGTAGTCACTCAATGGACATGAGCACATTTTCATTCCAACCTTTCAACATAGGTACTGTAAACTCTTGATATTGAGAAATGCTTTCTATAGCTCAGTCCAACAAAATCAGTCAAAAGAGAGAAGCACAGGTTAAAAAGCTATGAGTGCATCACTCATTAATACCATTTAACCCAAATAGCGAGAATTGTTTTGTAATCAGCCATGTAACTTTTAGGTGCTTTTCTCATTTTATTAGCATAAGTTAGTCATGTCTAATCATGAGTTTTGTTATACATTCATATATGTCTAGAATGTATTTTGATGATATTTATCACATATGACTGTCTTTTGACTCCCTCGTATTTAAATTGATTCCTTTCCCCTTCCCAACCTTTCACCTTCACTTTCATGTCATTTGTTTGTTTATTTTTGAAGGCCCAGGGCTAAGCAAGGTGTTATCTGTTAGGACACAGCCACCTGACTAATAGCTATACCACTAAAAAATGGTCTTTCTCTTCTCCAGCAACCATTAAACACTCACAGCACTTTCGGGGGCTGTAGGGAGAATTCTTAAATAGGACAGACACAGGAATCCCCAAGCATTGCAATCTTCCAGTGTTATACAGTGTGGAAGGCTGCTTATCTAGGGAACTTTTGGAGTAGAGTTTCATGTGGTAACAGGCCAGGGTAAGAATGCTTTGGAAGACAAATGGAACAGTTTCAGATGCTGTAAGATATTTTTAGGGTTCTTGTCATAGTTATTTTTTTCTATTGCTATGATAATAAACCATTATCAGGACAATTTATGGAAAAAAAAGAGTTTAATTTGACTGGTGGCTTCAGAGAGTTAGAGTCCATGATGGTGGAACATAGAAAAATTGAGAGCTCTCATCTTGACCCACAAACAGGAGGCAGACAGAGAGCCTTGGGAATCATACAAATCTTTTGAAACCGCACAGCTCCCCCATCCCCCAGTGACACATCTCCTTCAACAAAGCCACACCAACTAAGGTCATATGGGGACCTTTCTCATGGAAACCACCACAGTTCTTTATTGACTGCTGAATAATCCTGCGCAGGTTGGATTTCACAATGCTCAGATATGGGTAGCATCTCCATTCAGTATCCTCTGATGATGCCTTCACCAGTCCCCAGGGCAGCTACAGGAGACATAGACCCATGTCTATCTGTGTCACTTTATGAGATGTAGTATGTCATAGATGGCACTTAGAAAGAGATACGGATCTGGTAACAGTTATTAAGGAGTCATCTGTGTAGAACTTTATCAGTAAAATTTATTTTACATAGTAATAACATCACATACTGTTACATGTTGATATAGCGGTATTAGCAAACATGAGTTTTGCATGTAAAAGCCCATTCGTAAGAAGCCAGGGCCCTTTCCATGCTGACAGATGAGGTTGTTGAGCGTCGGAGTTTGTGATTTATTTACTCTGTGCCACAGGAAATCCAGGGGTACATTTCAGGAATTCTATTTGATCTGAGGCACTCTCTATGCCTTTCACAGACTCAGTATTAAGAAACAGTAAATGCTGCGGGCCATTGTTTAGGAAGAAGAGACACAAGAGCTCAGCCTCCGACATAACTATTGTTGCCATTGTTCTCTGTGCCTGGTTTTGAACACAGACAGTAGCTGAATACAAATGGCGATGTTGTCAGTGCTCTTCATAGCTTGCTCTTGGGGCTTCTGAAGAGCTGCACAGTCTCGATTTTATATGCTGTCTTTTCTTATGGGAAGTACAGCCGAGAGGCTCTCTGCCGAACCACAGAAAAGCTGCTCGCTTCTGGGAATAACCACAGCCACAGTGAAGCCCGATAAGAACTCAGAAGAGATGTGACTTATTTTGATCAAATGTGTCAAGAGCTCACAAGACAGGGGTGAGGCTGCCTCCAGAGAGGGGGTGAAATGCATGGTTTTGAAGCTCAAAGCTCTTAGCTTTAAACCCCAAAGACAAGATACTTGTCAGCCTCAGTAGATGTTCATAGCGAGCAGCAGCAAGCCAAGAGGAGTGATAAAATGAAACCCACTCATAAGGCAAGTAAAGGAAGTGACAAAAATAACCACCAACGAGCAGACTGCATCAATTCTCCCGCTGAAAGACATTTTCCACTGACATGCTGATGTTATTGAAACTGTGTGTAGGTGGCTTCTTGTTTGTTTGTTTGTAGGTGTATTTATTGGGTTAAGCAGTAAATAATGGTGGCAGTGGGCCTTCCAAGGCAGTGGGCCTTCCAAGGGTAGATCATATTGGTATGCCAAAGAGGGAAACAGAGACAAGGATTTTGGTACATTCTGAAGATTAGGTAACGAGCAGAATGCCTCAAAATGGTGAAGGTTGAATAAGCTGTGGCTGCTTTGCCCACCCATGCTTCCCTGTTATGCTTAAGGAATGTATGTGGCTTCAGTAAGGAAAATTTAACAACAAAATACCAGGCAGGAATAAAAAGACCCCTAAGTCTGGCAAGAAGTAAGAAGTTAAATCATCCCCCAGCGTTGCTTAGTTTTCAGAACTGGACCTAAACCAGGCTGGTTCCCTTTCAAAGTGCCTGCGTTTTCTGTCTCAAAATGCTTCTATACATAAGGTGAGCTGCTAGCCGTTGGCAGGTGACAATTGCATCTGTAAATGCTTCGCTTTCAAGTTTCAAATTTAACCTGTGTTACCTTTGCCCCGGTGGCCCTGCAAATTGCAGGGGTGCATTACAGAGTGTAATCACACCCTCCTCCTCTACCTGTCTTCCTGGTCAGTCACTGAGTGGGGTGGAGACAGTGTGGAACCCTGGACATCATCACCATGAACCATTCATTCACAGGGCTTTTACCCTAGCAGTAGCTGCAGCCTGTGGCAGGCCAGCAGTTTGAGCCCACTCCTGAGTGAGGGCATCATGTTATTTTAATCACACTTAGTAGTTGATTTCAAAAAGTATAAATTCAAAAAAAATCTAAGAGAATTCGTCATTTCAAAATCAGAGTTGGGCGTGAGGGGTGTGTGATAGGGAGCTCCTGAATACCAACTTAATGAGAAAAGGAATATCCCGTTCCCCATTTCTTTTTCCTTTTCCAAAACTAGGGAACGCTATGTGAGAGGAGAAAATACTACAGTGAACCTTGTACGGTGGCTGGAGCTGCCACAGGACCTGGCCTGTTTAAAAGGAAAGTTCTTAGAATGTGTGGCCCCTGGGCAGCAATTACCCAGTCCTTATCGCGGTTGCTCTCTCCCAGGATGTGCCTGAATTCCAGACCAAGGGTCTTTTGACCCTGGCCTGCCTGCTTCTCTTCTGCTTGCGCTCCCCCGAGGTAGCATAATCAGGCTTCCTGTTTCCAAAGGGTGGAGAACTGAAGGAGGCTAGTTCTCTACACAGGTAGGGAGGGGGGATCGTGAAGAGTGCATTCAGACCTTCGACTTAGACTTAACACAGCCAGTGTCAACAAGAGACATCTTAGTTTCCTGGCTGTGGCCCAAATTAACTTACTTGATTCAGAGCCTGTGAATGAAAGCCCAGGGGCTAATGACTAGCCGAAGCCCCCACAGTGCCTGAGCTGTGTGGACCACATCCACACACAGGATCTGGGATCTCAGCGCACTCGAGACTTGCATGTGCTGCAAATGTGGTCAGTGGAAATGAACTCTCAATTCAGCTTGGCAGCACGTGACTTCCTATTTCTGAAAGGTACTTCCAAGAGACTTCCTCTGTGAAGCCGGCCGAGAACCAGGAGATTTCCTTCGGCGGCGAGTAGACAAAAGTTTATTTCGGCTCTGGACAGAAGTTTTGCCCTAAGAGATCGAGTGAGGTGTTTTTCTTTCTCCTTCTGCTGTTGCCAGCTTGCAAGGATCTCGTGGCTCCTGTCTGTGATCGGAAGCTGAACACAGCAGTGCAGATCTCAGTAATCCACCCTGTGGAGCAGACCCCGACGAGGTACTCCAGCACGGAAATTGTGGAGGTGAGCCTGGCGTGGGTTTCTCCCAGCCTCTGTCTCTGCCGGTCTCTCTCTCTCTTGGTGCATGCTCGCTGCTGTCTGTGAGCAGTGTGCATGCTGCTCTCTCCTCCCCCTACCTCTCCCTCCCTCCCCCCTCCCTCTCCCTCCCTCCTGCCCCTCTGAGCAGCTGACATAAGTTAACTGTGATCTATGGCCCTGCTGCTGCTTTCATCTGTCATTAAGGAACACAGATCTGAGGTTTCTTTCGAAACTCATGCAGAATAAGCACATGGGAAAAAAAATTGATTTTCCATTGAAAAGTTTTAGCTTTCTTCCACCACAAAAAACTTTCCACTGTGAATTCCCAGAAAACAGAATATTTGTCTATATATCTGTGTGTCTCTATGTATATGAGCTACTGTCTATATTGATTTTAAATAAAATGGAATGAACACATTTAATGACAGAAAAAGTTTAAAGCACTCACAGAGTTTAAAGTAGGTAAAGGGGTTTTTGCTCTAAACTTTTTCCTCTGCCCAGTCCAGTCCAATAGCAAACTCTCACAGAACTGTGTTTTCTAAAGAAAGGTAGGCGGTTACCTTGATTAGCTGTAAAGTTTCTGGGCAAAGGGTGTAAATATTACTCATGGGATGAGGGATTTCCTATTTACGTTTATGGTTGCTAACGCAGTGTTCAACACGTATCGGGGAAATTTGTTCCTGGGCTGGCTCTGATTCAGCAGGACAAATGCTTGCCTTCAGATGTTTTTTGTTTTCCCACCGCGTTTCACGACCTTAGTGAGTGAGATACTTACTTGAACAACTGGGGCTCCAAAGAGTGTGCCTGCTCTCAGCTCCCGCAGCTTCTTTGTTTTTCTTAGACTTGTGTGCCCTGCTGTTCAGGATGAGGAGCTTCTCTGTACTAACATAGGCAGTCCGCTCTAGCGTTGGCTGGCTTAGCTCACCGTTTGCTTTGAAGCAGTGGGTGGAACCAGTGATTCAGACTGAGCTAGAGTCACTTCTATTATGGGAATGACCTAAATCCTGTGTGTAGCCCTGTGTCTGTTCCCTCTCGCAGCCCTGAATCTGCCCTTTGGAGACTTCAGGGTCTAATGCTCCTATAATGAATAGTTAGCAATAGTTGAACTAAAAGTAGCTTCCTCATAGAAAGACAGCTTAACGAATATTGTAAAGTCCTTTTCTTAAATGAAAACACCAGGTATTATTATAGCTTAGTTATTTTTTAAACACTGTCAAATTTTAAAGTAACTTGGTTTTGTCCTTATGATTTTGTTACACTACCCTCATTATTCTATCATAAAAAGTACATATTCTGAAATTTATTGTAATAACTATAAAAGTAATTTATGTTGACTTTTATATAGAATATGCAGTCTTCTTTGTTGTTTTATTCACTGCCTGTCTCCAAATGTGTCAGACATGGTGCTAAGAAAAGAGCATTTTATCTTTTGAAAAATAAAAGAATAAGTGAGTCAGTTAATGAATATCATACCTTCAGAAGCTTTATTAGACCAATGGCTTTCTGACTTTTCTTGGGGGGGCAGGTTTTGAGATAGGGTTTCTCTGTGGCTTTGGAGGCTGTCCTGGAACTAGCTCTTGTAGACCAGGCTGGCCTCAAACTCACAGAGATCCGTGGCTTCCTGAATTATTAAATATTTTCAAATATATTTGGTTGTGCATGTGTGTCTAAAATGTGATGTTAGACACCAGCTTTCGAAGACACGGAAATGTTTTGGGAGCCATATTCCAAGCAATAATTTCTTTTCCCCAATCCATCATGTTTAGAGTTCTTCTCATTAACTCTCAAGGTAGTTTGGGGAATTGAAAAAAATCACTGTTAAGTATCTAATAACAATCACACAATCATAGAGATAGGTTTCTATTGAAGCAGAGTACAAAAAAAAACATTTTTAAAAGGATAGCATCATGATCTCCCAATGGTTTGAGAAAAAAAACCTTCATTTAGTTTGGTGAAGTGTATTTTAGATCATTTGTCTAAATGATAAATATATATGTGATATATATATATATTTAAATGGACTGTCGGCTTGTCCTAAAGTTATTTTCTGATTACAATTTTCGAAAACAAGGTGCTTTTCAAGAGTCCTTAGCCACTTAAAAACTGCAAGTTCGCCTCCTCAGTAGCCCTCAGTACAATGGGGCCCTGGGCTCATGGCCCACAAGCAACACTTGGCTCTTCAGAGCTCTCTTTTAATAGAGCTATTTCCTAGAAAAGCAGACAGAGACACACTCTCTGTGTTCTCATTTGTCCCTGCAAGCTGCCTGCCACAGTCGCTGCCTTATTGAATCCTAGCTATCTGCTTATACTCTTTCAGGGAACAAAAGACCCACTGTTCTTGACGGGTGTCACATTCCCATCTGAGTACCCCATCTATGAAGAGACTAGAATAAAACTGACAGTCTATGATGTCAAGGATAAGTCTCACGACACTGTAAGTACTTGAACGTCTTTCTCTGGGAATAGAGAGTGGGATTTATACTTTGCCAAGCTGTTGGACTTCAGACGCTACCAGTATTTTTAAAGAGGGCTGTTTGTACTGCACTTATGTTTGTCTTGTGGTTGTACTTTGCTGTGTGTTGTTCAAACTCATTTGGCTTGTTACTAGCATGGCAATTAGCTAGGAGCAAAAGTTTGCTGAAGAGACCTATCTCTTTTCTAAGAAGGCTGATTTGATCTCCGAGCTTATATTTTGCTGTAACTTTAAGCTGACTGGATAATATTTTGGGGGTGAAGACAAATGGAAGAGATTAAATAATAGTTCAAATGCTTTAGATGTTGTAATTATTAAAAACTGGAGATTGGCAGTACTCCATTCCCACTATTTATCTTTTTATACTGTGCCTAGAGTAACTATTTTTCCTGATGTTTTTACTGTCCTGCATAGGGTTGGTAGAAAAACTTGGCTGAGGCTTTAATTTGCCCCTTTACATTCAAGAACTTGCAAAGTGTCAATGGTCTCTTCTCCAAGCTTCCTATTTAATTTGATTTTCTTGTCAAATGAGTCCTCTCTCCTGGTTAGGCACATAGGTGTCCTGGCACTGTTCATGGAGATATTTTTTATAACTTCTGGACAGGTCTTGCTGCTGCTGGGAGACACTGAAAAAGGGGCAGCCAAGCCTTCCCGCAAGCATCTCGCTAGTGTGAAGGTGTATGTGCCTTCAAGGCATTAGAATGAAGCATGAGGCAAGGGAGAGTTTTGATGGCAGTTAGACCAGAAAGTTCCAAGAGAGGCCTGAAGAACCACACAGGGGGAAGTGTAGTCCTGACACTGACTTACTTAGACATTTTTTGTTTTGATCATAATAACTCTATATGATGTAGGAAGAAGGAACCCATACAGCCAGTCCTTAATAGGGGAAAAATATTTAGATACATTAAACCAGGAGCATTCATTTCTCATAAATTGTGGAATAAATGCCCAACTAAATGTAAGCATATTCATGGGATAAAAGTAGTCATGTCAATCTTCTATAGTCATTAAGGAAGAGAGTTGTATGGCCAGGCTTCTGGATTTATTTCACCTACCAACTCTGTGACTAAGAGAACTTATTTTCTATATCTGTTTCTCTTAATTGTTTACCATGAGATATTGCTATAAGGAACAAAATGAGTAAATGTATGTAAACTGTTTAGGGTTCAGCATATACAGAGACATGAGCAATTACCAATTACTTCTATATAGCCATCATTTTGCTTCATAGTTCCTCATGAGAGGTAAAAGCCAAATAAAAGTCTAGTGAACAAAATCATTGTCTGTATTTAGTAACTTTTTTCCTTTTCTAAAAAAACTATTTTACTGATTGAAATAGAATTCTAATTCAATTGTTGCTTATGGGTATATGGTGTCAGGGCTGACCACTCTGTATTGGATGGCGTGTAAGGGGTCATCCCTGGGAGAAGCTAATTCTCTTTCTCTCAGAAGTCATTAGTAGCCTATAGTCCTTTATCTAGGGGCAAGATCCTCTGAAACTTCCACCCCCATGTCATCCTTTCCATTACCACTTTCAGGCCTGTTTCACAGCCAACTTCCTCGTCTTCGGGATCCTACAATCTTCCCTTCCTTTCTCCTGCATTGTTTGTATTCTAAAACAGAGGCAAGAATTTAGGAACCTGTTTACTTTCTATTTTCTCCGGAGTTGGGATTTTTCATTTTTCCTTTCTTGATTTTGGGAATAACACAAGAAACAGAAGGCCGTTGGGGGATGTAAACGAGGCCTGGTGGATTATGCACCAAGTCCCCCACTTCTTTCCCTTCCCCACACACTTCTGTGAGATAAGAGAAAGAAACAGAAGAATCAAGGAATGAGGAGTGAGAGGAGAGCCAGTTGTTGTCGATGGTGGGTGGTCATGATGCAGCTGTGCTGAGAAACAATGAGCTGAGGTGGTGATGGAGGACGAGGTCGGAACGCCGGAACCATTGGATTCATGCTGTATCACCTACATAGATAAAGCAAATCCTCCAGAAGTGTCCAAGTGCAAACACGAAGGACGGAGACTGTGAGCAGGGTAGAGTTTCAGGAATATTATATTTCAGAAACTAAGAGTTGTTCCCAAAGAGTTATGTTTGCTACAGTGTGAGAAATGTCAGAGATTTGTTGGCTACTTTTGTTGTCTTGATGATGAAACACCACATGGAAGCAACTTGAGGGAAGAAAGGTTTACTCTGGTTCATTGTTTAGGCATCCTGTCCATCGGGCCAGGGAAGCCTGAGCCATAGCAGCCACATGGTCCAGGGTGCAGGAATCTACAACACGGCTCTTTATATCTTGACAGATCAGAAGAGAGAGGGGTGGAGGAGAATTGAAGTAGGAGTTGGTTATCACCCCCAAAGACCTACTCCTACACTCCTAATGTCCTAAGTCTGCCAGCTGGGGAACATGTCCAAAATGTTTCATAATCTCCAATGGCAATGGCACTAGCTGGAGGGTATTCACATACATGAACCTGGGGCACATATTTCACATTGAAACTTTAACGTGTTATTACCACCCAATATGTTTTAATCTGCTACAATCCCCTTCCCTTAAAGTGTACCCATTTATTAATCCTCCACAGGTAAACTGTTTACTCATCAGTGATACTTTCTGTTTGCCTTGATTCTGGAAATTCATTCTGGATTCCCTTAAGGACTTTTTTCCTTGACTGGCCATGTTCTCATGTTAGGGTATGGGCAAGTTGGAAACTCTAGCTGTAGAATAAAATGTTGGAAATTGGAGCACACTTAAGAGATGCAACTGGTTGTCATTCAACAAACACTGTTAACTAAAGCACAACCTGTTCCTTCAAACAGCCAGGAAAGGTAGTCCTATTGGTGGAAGCATAAATAGAAACACAGTTCATTAATATGCTAATAGTCCCCAGCGATACAGACAACCTTGCATCTCTTTGGGGTGGGGAGAGGAAGTAGGTGGGTTAAAATACAATTTACAAGTGCTTAACAACCTGAGTGCCTTAGATCATAATACTTCTAAACCAAAAGGAATGAAAGTGAATTTGTGAATGTTTTGGAAGATTGATGATACTTTAAATTATTTTAACTATTCTATTTCAGCAAGCCTTTAATCATATTAGACCCAGAATAATCAGGTCTTCTTGGTTAAAATGGGTGAGTCCTCCAGTGGGCTGAGGCCAATGACTTGGTTGTTGGTGTCTTCCTATGGACTTTATCAGTGTTCTAAGCTAACCAGTCAGATAAATGTGACACCTCATTACTTCATGCTGACTTGCAGATGTGCTTGTGTTAGATGTCTTTAGAGAGAAAAGGTGATATTTCCTCTGTGTTTGCAATGCACTTAACACACTGTTACCTAGATGTTCTTATGTTCTTCTAAACAACTGGACCCAAGATTGATGGTTTCAGTGACTTCAACAGAAATGCAATTAATCTTTGTAACAAATGAGAAGAGTCTAACTGTTGTTGCTTTATAACGACCCTTCCCTCCTCATCCTTCACAGTCCCCAGCACGGTGGCGCTGTCCTCTGGGACAAACAGATGGATAGTGTTGGGCTGCTGGTTGAGGAGGAAGACAGGATGTGTCAAGGTCATTACTAAGACTTTGTAAGATCTTGGTTCTTCCCTCATTATGGAAAACAATATATGTATTAGTTTGTTTGTTTGTTTTGTTTTCAGAATAGGCTATTCTAATATCCTGCTGCTTGGAAGGGATTTAAAGTCTGAAACAGAAGTGCATAGTTTAGGAGAAGAGAGGTATAAAATCTCCCTGCACCTGAAATTTAAACAAATGTATTTTTCAGGATGCTATCTACAATATTCAGCCTTAGGGACAAGTAGGGAATTGGAGTCTTCCATATTACCGTAAAAAGTTCTGAGCAAGGACAAACTTGTGGCAAAGAATATCAGTATCAAAATTTGTTTCCCCTCTTTCTTATGAACTTGGGATGTTGGAAGGTACTGGATGAAGTTCCTTTAGCGCTGTTGGGGATGGCAACCCAATCAGCCAGTGTTTGATAAGGTCAGAGCATTGCCTTTGCCTGTAGCTGAAATGTGAGTTTCTGCCCTATTTTACACAAGTGTCCATTGATCTCCCTCCTTTTGCTCTGTGGGTAAACAATTCTTTGCTCTATCCACCACTGAATTAGCTCATATCATGGAATCTGGCATATAGTAGTCACTGGACAATCCTGGGTTAGGAGATGGAGCCTACCCCACTACCAAAACTGCCAGTGACTGCGCTGACTTCCCACTAAAGCCTAGCAGAACACCAACTGCATCAACCGGTGCCTGGAAATTTATTGCTTCCTGTGTTCTCTGCCCCAGGTTGATTAGCATTAGTACAGATTAGCCCCTAGACAAAAGAATCTGGTTTTCTTTGTCTGCTATTTCTGCGTTGGCCCTTTTGGAACATTTGGTCTATGTAGTTAAGACACAGATTATGTTATCAGAGAGAGTCATGATGTGGTGGGGGACAGAAGGCAGCTGAGACTATGCCCTCTAAAACTCTGTTGCTCCATGCATGCCTGCTTTCATTGTCACAGCAGTACTTTAAGTGTGCTGTCATTGTGCTCACTCTGCTGGTGTTTGGAGAATGCCAGGCCATGTTAGAAACCCTTCATCTCTCCAAGATCAGCTACAGCGCTGTGACACATGCATGGTTGCTAAGCTGTCTTTCACTTTCACTCCCATGGTATATTTCCACTTCAATCGACATAGTAAGAACACTCTTGTAATAGAGCTTAAAGGTTTATTATTTTAAAAAAATCAGTGTTCACAGACCAGAAAATCTATAACCAAAGTTTTAAGTATATATATATTGTATAATGGAGTCCCTAGCAACCATTCATACCATTCATAAAGGAAAATAAAAAATAGTGGTCAAGACTATTTTTGAAATTTCTATGTTTATGGCCAAACTCCTTTTTTTCCCCTTTGACCTTGTTTTCTGTTAGTTTTGTGTTCCTTGTGGGCCCTTC